CAAGATTGTTGATAAAAACAATGAGAAGTTCTCCACACACCTACACATTTCTATAATACGCAGAAAAACAGTATCTAAATTTAAAGATTTCAGTTAAATTTGTATCAGGCTCTTTGCAAACTTGAGGCTTCCTTTTAAGATTTTCCATCACAGGCAGTTACTGTACCAATATCTGCATGACATCTACTATCCTAAGAGTGTGTAGAATCTCCATCTCTATAAGACTTCATCTAATTTAGAGTGAGCCAAGAGAAGTGTTATTATCTTGTAAAATTTAAAAAGCCGCCCAATAGTAAACTCAATTTGGATTTTGGCCTAAATAAACATGGCAAAATGAAATCAGTTATTTCAATGGATATTTGATATATTTATAGAAGAATGACAGTCTACAGCACATCCAGTCAAAGACATTACAGGCAGTAAGAGTGCAAGGACGCAGAAACGGTGTGGTTAAACTCTGGACTGGCTCCTTGGCAAACCCTCTCCAGCCAAGGCAGCCTAATGCTTTTCCAGCTGTACAAGAGGCTCCTTTTATGACCACCACCAATAAAGCACCTTTCTCTACTGCCATACCATAGAACGAGGAAATCCTTTTACTTCTCCTTCCCACAGTAATGTGGTGTCTCAGCTTGGATTGACCCTGCCAGCTTAGCTTCCTACCTTTCCTACCTACTCATCCTCAGTCACTTGGGCCATCTGTAGAGAAAGGACTTTGAGGGGTAACTCAACTCCTCTAGGACATCACCCCGGGTTAAGTGCCTATTTCTCTCCCCTGACCACAGGGGATACCTGCAGTAATTCTGAACAAATACACAGAAGTTAGTTTGGGATCAGGCATTCCATGCCTGATTATTTAGTACAGTACGGCCTTGAGATGCAGGCCTTTAAGTGTTACTGTACTACCAATAATAAACAGCTGCAGCACACACATAGTACTTTATCTGACACTGAATTATAAATGGCAAATAACACAACATATATGAATATTACACACAGAATTACCAAATGGTTGAGGTTGGAAGGGACCCCCCTGCTCAAGCAGAGACACCTACAGTACCTCCATGAAATATTGATATAATTAAGTTCACATTGATAATGTGTAACAAAACACAGCATCACTGACTCCTTTTTTGAATCTGGAACTTAAACTGAAAACTACAGAACTGGATTTTTCATTCCCTATAGTCAGCCTTAGAAGCAACTCATTTATCAAAATATTGGCCACTTTTTCCTGTATCAAAGAGATAACTTGAACTAGGAGAGCTCTACAGTGCCTGAAAACATGATATGCTAGAGTATTCGTTTGGGTTGACTTAGCTAATGAAAACAGAAGGGAAACCCACATGTTTCAACACTGGATAGAAGAGCTGACAGAAACATCAACAACATGACAAGAGAAATGAACTTGGATGGCTTGAATGCAAGTTTCATCCCCATCTATTCCTTGTACATACACAAGAGCAGTTCTACACACACCACCACAAAGAAAAGGAACAAAAAAGTGACAGAGCAGTTATTAAGCCCCTTCCACATGAACAGTATCACACAACTCCTGGATGGAAGCAACAAGTTTCATCCACCTTGACACGTATAAAAGGAAAAGAGAACTGACAAGAGTCTGGCCTGTGATCATTCATTCATTCTTCAGAATGAATGGCAATTGTGAAGTAAAATAGCATAAAATATCTAAAGCAGATGAGATTCAGATGATTTTTTTGGTAGAGTTAACACAATATTGAGAATATATAGCACAGGATGATCGAGAAATTGAAAACTCATGAAATATTAACTGATCCATTTTTAAATAAAATGGAGTCTAGACTACTAAAAAAACTAAAAATAGAAGTAATTTTGTTATTCAGACCTGCTTTACACATTTGCAGCCTTATCTTTCATAGCGCTAGTTATGTAAGGATTGTTTAAATATTTTAAGATTGCCCAGATTTAATATTTTCATTTATAAAGGAATCGAAACAGGCTGCTATTAAATTTTGATTTCTATTTTTTCCTCAGGCTAAACGGTCTGATTTTTTAGGTCAGCAGAATGCTGAAGATAGCCTACCTTCTATAGCATAGTCATGCCGCTAAATGGAATATAAAGACAAAACTAAAAGATTTATTACAGGTTGTAAATATGTCACTAATGCAGAATTACTGGACAATACACACACAACTGGTGCCAAAAAAGCTTTTAGCTTTGTTGCTGAACTGAATTCTTTACTGCTGAGAAAATGAATTAATGGAGGACTTGGAAGGGGGAGGGGGCTCTTTCCCGTCTGTGCCAGTAAATCAACCACACGATACTTCGGGAGTCGCACAAGAGTAAGAAAAGGCAGCCTCAGAGATTAATAGGATTCCAAGTATTTATAAGAAAAAATACCATACTGGAAGTTATAAATTATTATCAGACATGTAACATTTTTCCATTCAACAGATACAAGTGAAAAGCTGCTCTGTTCAGAATCCAATTCTCAAATGTGGGGAAAGAAAAATGAAAGATAAGATGACACTATTTATCTTCTTGTTCTTTTCCAATTTCAGCAGGCTCTTCAACTTGGCCTTAAACAATACTGTTTAGAACTGAAAATATGACTGTCTTAATTTAGAGAAGTCTGGAGGCTATATGAATAGGCAGGTATTCAACGCCGTGCAGTATACGCACGCTATTATGGCAGCACATCTAAAGGCAGATTTAAACACATGTTTACTTAGACAAGAGTTAACTGCCCTGGGTAAGCACAATATTGCAATGCAAATAGTGCAAAAATCTTACCAGTTCTCGTTTCACCGGATGCTCCTTTGGATTTATTCCCTGAGTAGCCAAGTACACTACAAGAGGAAAACACATTTCATGGAACTGAAGGCTGGGATGACTAAGGGCAGAACTCATCAGTCACGTAGGCAGACCGCAGTTTGCGAGCAACACCGCTAGTAAGTTACCTGCACTGCACAGCATCTGAAACTATTTCTGATTAAAAAATAATTTAGCATGGTTAGATTTTTGGCCCATATAAGAAAGTTAGAAAAGACTGCCGAGGAAAACAAGAAACATCATGACTCATAAAAAATGCCTACATAAGTACCAACTTTTAGGTTGGAATTTCAGCATCAGTTACCCTGATTTAAGGACAGCACTACTTTGGATTCTCAGGGTGACTACAGGTTTTTAATTATTTGGCTATGGAATATGATTATGTTATGTTGGCATAGTCTAGAAACAAGCGTTCAAATGACCATGATAAATACTGCATTTTCCTCCCACCATATACTCACTCCAGAACATTGAATTTAATGCATAGGCTGAAACCAAATCCAGCTTTGCTTGCTCAAGAGGCTCCAACTAAAACGAGAAAAAAAAAAATGATGATACATTTAAGCAAGATACGCACAGCTTCAGCAGTATGCATGTTTTACACTTGTATTTGTTACAAACCCCTTCACACGCAACCCCTTCACTGCAGCACAGTTTCACTGAGACTGTTTACGTTTGCTTCCCTGCCTCACAGACCCATTTCCTCCTGGTCCAAGCACTGATAACATTTTCCCAGCTTAATGTTAAATGTCACAGTCCAAGATGGCCAAAAGCACAAGATCTCTTAGCATGTAGTCCTAAGACTACTGTTCCAATAGGCAGGAAGAAGCCCTGTTTTTCTACAAAAACTTTAAAAGAGTTTTTGCTATTATCAGAAGAAAAAAAACCTAACGATATAAAAAACTAAAAGTTCAAATGTCAGTCTACAATTAACAGACATGAACACTGTACGTGTTAGATTGTGTTCAGCACATGATGGAATACTTAGGGCTGTACAGCCAAGAACAAAGAAAGGTAATGAGATTTTTTTTTCCCCTTGACTGTTAAAGTCAATTTATTATTTAATCCTACAGGATTTCCAGAAACCCTGATAACATCGTTGCACAGCTCACTAGTTTTAACAGAGATGCCGTCAAAAGACTGTTGTTAAGACCATTTTCTTCATAACTTGTACTAGAAATCCCGGAGGACAATGTAGTTCCTCTGTGCTTTTGCATTTTCTTGCCCCAAAGAAAAAAATTGCATGTCTGCTTTTAAAAGTTAAAAAGAAAAAGGAGGCTTGTAGGAGGTCTTTGGGCAGTACCTTGCTCTGTATTTATGTCAGAAAAAAAAAAGGGTTTTATAAACTTTAACAACATAGCTAGAGTAAACAGCTCAATTGTTCAAGCACCACATTCTGCAAATCTAAACTCCTGGAATCAGAAGATCAATTTTCATTGCCGCCAATTCACCTTTCTATCCTTCCTGGGTAAACTGAATTCCCTGAAGATCGTTGTGAAAAGGCCACTTGGACACAACTGTGGATGAGCGATCCCTTCTGGAAAAAGCATTCAGCATGCACTGCCAGGAAGGCTAATGAGCTACAATGGAGTTTACCTAAAGGGCTCACTGCTAGTGCCATCATTTTTCAGCTTGGAAGAACATACATTTCATTGTTTAGTTTGCAAGACCCTCTGGATATCCTAGAGATATAAAAATTGCAAGTATTAAATCAAGGGTATTCAAGGTATCTAGGGTAAGAAGTGTCATATTTGTCTGTTCAGGGTTAGCCTAAGAGGCCCCTTTACTTAAGGTAGGGTTCCCAGATGCTCCTGTACTAGTAATAAAAATGCTGTCAGATGTGAGAATATTTACCTTTCGGAAAAGCTCGATCCTGGAAACAGACATCATTGTCTGAAGCATCTCATCTACAGAAACAAGAGATTTTTCAAATGCTGCGAGATAATCATGAATTTCACTGGGGTAATCTTCCACATTATCATCTTCTGACATTTCCATCTGAAAAGAAGGAATAAAACCAATAATCATTTCATTAACTCTCTAGGCAGTCAAAAGATTATCTTAAAATATGAAGTTTTAGCATTTATTCATTGCACATAGTAAAAAAGGAGCTACTTCTAAAGAGTTCTGAAAGGCTGAATAGATAGTAATGTTGTTAGAGGTACTGCAACTGCAGGGCTACATCCTGCCCGCTGTGCCAAGCGGCACTAAGGGAATCTAGGAGTGGCACAGCAGCAGTGCCCAGCCTTGCAATGCTCTGAAAATACTATACAAGTGTGAGAAAGAAGTTATCTGCATGTTTAAAAGTGCTCTATAAATTGCAATCTAAGGAGTTACATCAAGAAGCAGGCAGAACTTTAAAGAGGGATGTGGCTTGTTCCATCTTAGCAGCAGACAGGACTTCAGCTTTAAAATGGTTATGCAGCACCAGTTATGTCAGGGTCAATTTTAATCTCCAATCCTAGATTTAGGAGTTGGTCCAAGAAGTTTTTTGTAAACCATGCATCTAGTTCTTCGAATTCTCTATAGGCTGTTATAATCTGAGGTATAACTTTACCCAAAGAAAGCTGAGTTTATTCTGGGATTGCAGATTACTGTGAAAATCCTGTAGACACATCTACTCACAGCCACTGTGAGATCAAAGATATGGAAAAAAAAAATCCCAAAATATTCTAGTGCTGATCCCAGCACCCACAGCACCCTTGCCTGGAAGCAGTCATGCCACATCTGGTTAGCTTACAACCGAGATCTTTAATTCTCTAACACCATATGCTATTTAGGACATGGGAAGTTACTTAAAGTCCAGTTATTTTCTACAACTTCGACTGATGGAGAAAGCGTTTTTTGAATGTTGTGAGGAAAGAAGTAAAAAAGCTTTTCCTTCCCTTTTGATGGGCTGCTATGAAGAACAGCAGGAACACCTGGCTCAGCACAGTCCCTTCACTTGGGGTCGCTGGGATCATCTAGCCCAAAATGCTGAGTACAGAGGGCAGTGGCTGGAGAAACTGCACCTTGAAAGTTTGATGCCTGACACCATGGCACTTGGCAAGCATAAACAGCAATGAGACAGCAAACATCTGCCACAATGCTGGAATTGGTTTTAAATGAAGACTTAGTCTTTTCCTGGCAAGAGCATGGTTTGTGTGAGAAAGGTTTCTATTTATTGTGTCTTCTAGAGGTCAAACAAGAGAAAGATGGGGAGGAAAAACAGCGCGGAGCTCCTCTGCTCAAACCTGCCCACAGCTCCAGCTGTTACCGCACCAGAGGGATTCTGAAAATAGCATCACCTATTGAACAGCTCCACTGTTTGCATGGTTTAGAGTGAGAATTCTGCCCAGCTGCTTGATGTGCATTGTGCTCAGAGCTGTTTGTCAGACCAAGTGCAGGACGGCAGAGCTAACCTTGGCAGGCTCAACCGCTGCGTCAATCCAGAGAGGCGCAGCCTGCTTCAGCGTGCCGCAGCATCTGCAAGGGCGCCCAGCTTGATGCGCAGTGTGCGGCCCACAGGAAAGCACAAGAGCAACGGCATCATCTCTGTCGTCAATAATGACTATTTGTGTTTAGTTCTGACCTCGCAACCTGCACTATAATAAGCCTCGTTAGGTTTTTTTTTTTCAGCCACAATCCAGCAACTTTGTTGTTAACTTCTAGTCATAGAATCACAGAAGCGTTATGGTTGGAAGAGGCCTTCAAGATCATCGAGCCCAACTGTAAACCCATCACCACCAGGCCTGCTAAACTACATCCCTAAGCACCTCATCTACACGTTTCCTGAACCCTGCCAGGGATGGCGACTCCACCACTTCACGGGACAGCCTGTTCCAACGCTTCAGCGCTCTCTCCATGGAGAATTTTTTCCAAATATTCAACCTGAACCTCCCCTAATGCAACTTAAGGCCACCTCCTCTTGCCATATAATAAAGCAGAAAAAAACACTACTCTGAGCAACTGAAGAAATTGGATTGTATCAGCTGTTAATACAGCTAAACCTGGTTGGAAAGTGCCCATCAACAGAAATTACTACACTTAACTCATGCAGGAGAGGGGGAACTCAGACCAACATCCAGCCACAAGGTTTACTACCACTTACAATACTGAAGCAATCGCAGTCTGAATGTGATGGACATGTGGGGACAGAGTCACCCTCTATAAGGACAGCCAAAACGGCAGCAGCAGGAAGAAACCCCAGCAAACTCCTGCAGTAGGAATGTGTGACTGCTCACAACTGACTTGGGCCATTTTACTGCAGCTGCAACGACAAGCAGTCACTGGAACATGTATGCAGCCTGAAGGATGAGATAAGGTGGATGGAAACCTTATCCATTGCAAACATTGTCCAAAGTGAATTTTTATGCTATGGCTGTCTCAGGAACCGGAAAGAATTAAGTTTGCCCTCTTATCACAAAGAATTTACCTGTCTCTGTCAAGCAGCAAGGGCAGGGGAAGAGGCAGCAGCCCTCATGGAACGAAGCTGCGGGCAGCACCCTGGGCCAGGGTCTGCTCCCTGTGCCCAGGCAGGGAGAGAGATTCCCAGAGCCTTTGTGCTTCTCTGCTCCTTGCAACAGGAACCAGCAGCTTGCTGCTCCTGCTGCACAGGGACCGCGTGCTCTCTGCTGGGCTCTTGTTCCACATCACTAATCTCTGAACAGGATAATATGTTACAGTGCTGGCACATGCCAGCAATAAGGCAGCGAATAGCTTGAAATAGTTTTGATAACAGTAAATCAACAAGAATAAACTTACACTACATTAGAAAATCTGCATGCCAGACCTTCCACAAAACTCTTGGCCAAAATCAGCACGCAGGCTTCTCACTCACACTTGCAAAAGGAAACACCACAACAGGAGGAACTAGGAGCACACCAGTGACTGGATATATCTGTATCTGAAGGCAATATTTCTCTCAATCCTCATGCTGTTAAAACACACAAAAAAAGTTTATCTCAAAGTTCTACAAAGAGTTTTCTGTGTATTTTCAACAAGTGGAAACTTCCTTGGTTCCCGAAAGGGATTCTTATTACACATTTTCTCTTTGTTGGATTTACTGACTGTCAGCCACATTTTGTTACAGATCCTACTTCAAGAGACAAGAAGATCTGACAAATATTCAGATAAGTGAGGATATGAAAATACATGCCAAGTACGCATGTTAGTAATTGGGAAGGCTGGAGGGAATACAGGTAAGATAGTATTTCCATTACTAATTATTGGAAAAACAAGATAGAATAATTTGTGGTTGTGTGCATAATTACAGTAATTCATACCACCTTTAATTTGAGGAATGCAAATGAAAGTTCATAACCTATAAACATAAAATAGAAAAGGGGCTATTTCAATTAAGGACAAGGGGAACGAATAGTGATGAAAAATGGGATATGACTTCATAACATCCATCTACCAGACACAACTTTTCTTTCCAACCCTGAGCTTAAAAAAAAAGTCATGCAGTTTTGTGGAAAGCAGCTGGGGTTGGTGGTAGGCAAGTATTTAAGGAAGAAAAGGGCAGTTAAGTCATAAACCAAACTATTTACACGAGAAAACTGATTAATTGCATGCAAGTCTGATCAATAAAGATGTCGTAAAATGAGCTCACACAGGTGGTAATTCTCATTTATTAAGAAAGATCACCACATTTATGTAAAGTTCTGCTTAGAAAACAAGGAATACACTGTGTTCTTTCCAGTCAGTTCAGGATAAACCAAAAAAAAAAAAAACCAAACGAACAAAAACAATGCTGCAGCCTCAACCATAACCAAAGCAGGCTCCTTGCTGGCATACAAAGGTGAGAAAGGGCAAGAGGGGAAGTGCACAATTTGTAGATCAGAATCTATCCTATGCTTTAACGCAGCCTCAGGGAGCAACTGCCAGCCCTGGCTTAAGAACGATGCTCTCCTTCCTAGAGAGACAGGAATGGCCAGAACAACCCAGACTCTCCTGTGGCGCTGGACACTCCTGCAGGAGACGCTGCTGCAGACACACGCAGCGAGTAATGGACACTTGCGCCTGTACCAAAGGGGCAGCAACAGACACTAACAAAACAGAGCTGGAACAGTTCCACACAGCACACAGACAGAAGACAAAAATAGCCAAGCATCCTTAGCGTTGTGGCATAATGAGAGTTTGCATTAATTCTTACCTATTGAAGAGCTAACTGGTCTTCAGTACCATATTACTTCAGTACTTCATATTACTTATTTTAGAGGGGAAAAAAAAAAAAAAAAACAGATTAACTTTCCTTCTTTTCACAGATACTTACAGATATGCCAAGAAAACACCAAACAAATCTACAACCCTTTGATTAGGGAACACAACATTGTCTTAAACCCCTCAGATGCACTAGAACACCAGCGCTGCTCCTAAAGAAGGGCACCGAGCCCCCTCCAGGCAAGTCCTCACTCACAAGCTGCAGCCAACGCAGCCAATGGGTGAGAGAAGCAACACGTCCCTGCTGCTCTTGCACTGCTGCACTAGCAACAAACATCTTGTGTTACCACAGCTAAAGCTACCAGAAATCATAACAATGAGTCCTTAGATTACAGACCGAGAGATCCATTTTATTCCATGCTTACAAACTGCCAAGGACACTAGGTGCTGATGTGGGACAAATTCCTCAGCATTACTGCTGTATAATAAGAAAAGTTAGCTACTAACCATTCCAATGCCTCCAGCTCTGTTTTGCGGCAGAGCCAGCTGGGGCAGCTGGAGAGCACATCCCGCACATGCATTCAGAGGGTTCTTGTAGTGCCAACACACAATCATGTTTACAGGAGAGATTTCCAGTGCAAAAGCAATGAACCCTACCATGAAATACCAAGTATGCACCAACAAGCTTATCCTGATCGCCTTACAAATATCCCAAACCAAGCTACGACAGCTATGCAAAACACTCTTCACAGTGTATTACAAACTGGCAAAGTCGAGCAGTCATTTCTAACACTGCCTTCCAAGCCAGGCTCCAGTGAGCATCCCCAAGCTCCCTGAAGCAGCCTGCACCACCG